GTTCAAGACTAAAAAAAGGGGGAAGGTCTTCCAACCACATTATCACCTCCGATTTTGTATAGACATATGTATATAGCACGATGCCAGTACAGATGAAAATCACAGTTTTGAGGCCTCCACTTCACTCAAAATTACTCACTTTACTCCACCCTGCTCACTCTATTCCGTCAATCTACCCACCAAGTTCCTGCTCATATATAAGATGAAATGCAGAATAGGGCTGGGTTTTCCATATCACTACTTTCCGTAATCATAAAGTCTGGGGACGGACAGACCGGTAAATATACAAACACGCACCAAGTTTCTGCTTCATAAATAAGAGGGACAAGCAAAACTTCAAAAGCCTGACCTTTCAACTTCTTCGGCATAACGTAGGCTTGTGAAACCTTTGTTTCATTACCAACGGCCAGCGGGAAATACTGTCCAATTTCAGAGTAGAGTTTATCGTTCTGCTCGTAGATTGGATCAGCGCCGTAGAATTGCGAACCCTAAAGATCACTAAGTATTGAAAATTCCTATAAACACTCATGTCTCTTATTTTCCAACGTCTTCTGCATGCTTTTTCTTTACCTCTATTTCTTGACTTATTGTTAGCATAAACTCTACAGTTGCAGAGAAGTATAGTAAAAGAATTACATTGATACAATATCGAAAACATTTACATTCCGTTTATTTAATTGTTTATTGTTTAGATTTTTTGACTGCATTGATTGTTTAGGACAATTGCACCTATCACAGACTTACATTTGGTAACTGTTCCTTCAACTTCTTCTCAGCCTGTACATCCCAGCCAATACCCAGTGTAATGACGACTGATGGCGTATCCTGAAATTCACTTCAGTCAATAGAGCACTAGCTTAGTTTGTGGTGGACCATATATTCTTAGCAATGCGATTCTAGGTACAGAAGGTTACGCCATTCACCGGAAGACGTCTAAAAAAGACTCTGCCTCTGAAGGTACTGGCAAATGGCTCCAAAACTCGAAAAGAACAAAAATAAAACTGAAAAAGGAACAGTAACCATAAAAATTCTGGCACAACATAAAGTCATACAACAGGTGCTAAAGGTTCCAAACCGCTGTGCTTAGGCTAGGTCACACCCAAAAGATCCCTTGATCACGCATGCGAAGGATGGGCAAGTGAGGAAAAACCACTTTCAAAGAGAAAAGAGAAAAGAAAAGTTATTAAAATACAATCAGACTTGATAACTAACATCGGTCTTGTTGAAAACGTGAAATTTGATTTCGTCTTTGTTGGAAACACCCGTCAGGACGATATTTTTCATTGGAGATGATGTGTAACAGCGATTGACAGAATCACGGAACGTCCCCCACAGCTGAAAAAAGACCTCGTTACAATCTGAAAACTGACAGAATTGTGCTCATCAGCTGGCCCATGTGGTCTCAGCGGTCCTTCGAAAAAGATGTGACCAACAGTACTTCCATTGCTCTAGCCTTTGACAGTTCTACTCTAGAAAGTACCATGATCGCAGAAAAACCAGAAAATAGTTTTTTACACAAATTCAAGTGCCGCAACGGTAAGTCAACAAACAAGCCTACTAGGAGATTTTGGACTAAAACTTAATCTTTTGTGTATTCACCTGTTTTGAGTCATTCATTATGGGAGTCAGAGCTTCACTGAGGCAGCTGTGCCAAGTATCAAAGGCCTCAGCAACCTTGGTTGGCCGGTACTCACTCGGGAGCCCTCCCATGATGTGATCAAGGCTGAAAGCTCGCCCTATCCGTTGCACTCCCTGAAGCAGTAGTGTTGTGTGTGGAAAGAAGTTACGAATAAATTACTGGCTCACCACTTCGTTGAATCTTGATGGCTTTGTCAGTGAGATCGTGAGAAGTATGAAGAAGATACTGGCGAGTATCATAATGAAAGGTCTCAAGCTCTTCACCGCCATTGTGACCCACTGAAGAGAGAAAAACTTGCCAGCAGACAAAAAGAAGATTAAAATTCAATATTAGAACTGAATTCCAGTTGTTACAGGGGTCATAGGGAATAGACTGCAGTTGTTTTGGACTCTATTGCCTTACGAAACTGTTGCATTGATGTTCCCTCCCGTATAGTTAGTCTACACACTGCCACTATCCAGCTCAGCTGGGCAAACGAAATTCCACGCTGAGTGACCAGCCTGATCACAGGATTTGTGAGCCTATCGGATTTCTAATCAGAGGAGGAGTTCCTCAGAAGTAGGTTGGGTTTGGGTTTTGTAAGCTTAAATGAGATGCAGCGCCTCTACAGAGCTTAAGATTTCACTCCTTCCAAGATCTCCGATCTCCTAAACGAAACTTAGAATCTTCTTGGCAATTTCGTTCCTGCTTCAGATGAGTTCTTTGTTCATCGAATTAGGGACATAAATAAATGACAAAAACTATCGGCGAGGAATAAACGACAAAACAATTATTTGTCGCTTGTCGAATGGAAGTTTTCAAATTTTCTGCATGGATCTCTTTCCGATGCTCTCTCTGATGAGATAGGGTCCTTACAGCACCGCAAATTACTTGTTCGGTCTGCATCAAAAAGTCGTGCTCTCGCGCAATGACGATACGATAGGCGATGCTGAAGTCTCTTTCTTTTCTCTTTTTGATTCCCGGCTCCTACGGCCCAACTTATGGGCTCACTCTCACTACGATTGCCAACTCCTATGACTCGCTCATGGGGTCACAGGAGCTTGACTCAACTTTGATACAGTGGTATACTCACCGTCCTATCGAGTACGCCGAGTCAGATAAGTGGTACCAGTAGGACTCGGCGCTGTTACAATAGAGCCTGGCAGTCCTCAAACGGTCTAACGAGATATCAATAATCGACGGAATTTCATCTGCATTACCCAGCTTGGTAAGCGATGGCACAAGTGTGGAATGCAATGTGTATGGAGAAAAGCGAACCATTATACTGGCAAGCATTATAACAGTATTTAGAGGTGACAACAATTCCAGGGTACATTAGAAATGAAAAAAGAGAAACAAGTTCAGTAAAATGATCTTTTCGAGGGAGTGCTCAAACTGACTCAATTGATCGGCTCCCCGAGGTATAGATTCAACCACCTGGCTGTATGGAATATGATACAGTTGGCCCTTGCCATTAGATGTCAACCCCAAAAGTTTTTGTAGGGTTCGCGAGATACACACTATAGAATGGTTCTTCCAGAATGAATGCAAAACGATTTGCCGCCAGCAGGGGTCGAACCTGCGACCTTGGGCTTATTAGACCCACGCTCTAACCGACTGAGCTATGGCGGCTACG